AGAAGGGCGAGGGATGGACTTGCGCCTTTTTCCCCTTCTCTGAAGATCTCCAGAAGGCTTTGGTGTCGCTGAGGGGGGCCGCCTGTAAACGCACGTTTATGGTTTTTTTGCAGAGCTGGATTGTATTTTGCCTAGAAAATAAAGGGCGAGTGTTTCTCAGAGGAGAGACATTTTCAGCCAGCATAAAGAAGAAAAAAAGAACTCAATTTATATTTTTAAAAGCGCCCTTTCGCCTTTCAGAGATTCTTTCCCCCCCCTCAGAATTTTTTCGTTCTGTGAATTAAAGACTTAGCAGCTCTTGCTTGAGAGCGCGTTTTCCTACATAAGGTGCCCTGGCCTTTTTGAGCGCGCTGCAAAGTAGGCGTCTCAGTACTGCAAAATTCTGCTTTTTTTTTCTTGACGCTTGTCAAGCCTGTGCCTTGCTTTGGGGATGTGGCACGATGGGTGGGACGCTGGCGCGCGGTCCGTGGAATAGCACCGTCCAAAGTGTTGCCGAAGCACGCGAATAGGCTAGTTCCCTGACATCGCGACGGGCATCGCGTGCTGGAAATTGCTTGTAGGCTGTAGTTTTGCGTTCCCGTTTTTCTGCATAAGGTTAATGGGCAAGCTCAAGTCGTAGCTGACAGAGTCAAGCTGTAATTTCTTTGGGAGACTCTGTTACAACCTAAATCTGGTGTTTCTTGCATAGTATTAGATTTGTACCTATTGCTTTTCTTTCTTTTTTCTCTTGTGTTTAAAAAAAAAACACACTTAAAAGCTAGTATTCTCACTTTCTACTGTTCTGAATTCGATTTGGCTCCTTTCCTTCCTCTGCTTTCTCTTCCAGGTAGCGCTGTTAAACTGCTGGGAAGAAATATTCCCTCAATTCTGAGGATGCCTAAAGGAGCGGATCTGAAGATAAGCAGAAGGCTTTGCGTTAAACCCCAGGAAGAAAGTCAACTTCAGCCAAAAAGTAAGAGTTTTTGGTAACAATCACGTTATCTTTCATACCACGAAATATTTAGGTATCCAGGCTGCAATCATCTGAACAGGAATTTAGCTGACATAGATGCTAATGTCTCTGATTTTGTGAGAGGGAATTCCATTCTTCAGACTAAAAAAACTAAGCATTAAATTTAGCAATAGATTCTTGTTTTCTTACAAAGCCAGGGGTCAGTATTTCTTCTTGTGACAATAACACAGCTTTCAGTTTCTAGCAGGTCACCAGTATCTTCTCTGACGTGCAGTCCCCCATTGAGGCTCTCCAGCTGTGCTCCGGAACCCACTGTTCAACCCCCACGTCAACGGTCGCTGTTTAACACCACCGTACGAGCGAAAATACCTTTGCAGTTTTTCATAGTGCCACCAGCTCCAGCTGCTCGCAAAACTGAACGTGCCCTGCAGGAGAGAGTCGGTCTGAATCGTTGGCTTAGTTCATGCTTAAGGGTGGAGTCGTTCAGGTGAAGCTCAGGCCACGAAACATTTTTTCACTATATATAGTGAAATATATATGGGACAGTTAGGATGCTCTCATCAGACTCCCTGTGTAGCAGGTCCCCTTCATGGCCTACTGATGCTAGATAAAAGGAGCACACAGATGCGAAGCATTTTGGATAATTCTGTGTTAAAAACATAATGCAGCTGTGCTGGGTAAGACCAAAGTTCTCCTTAACAGTGTCACCTCTCCTGTAGTGGCCGGTCAAGGAGGTCCCGTACGTTTTTGTGGAGGCTAATAGGAACGGTGGCCGATAGCAAGGACCTAGGGAGGAGTGCGGAAACAGGGCAAACATCGCGTTTCTCCCTAGACTGCTGTCCCAGAGGTGGCATCTTTGCGTTTAACGGTCCTCGCTGGATTTTTCTTTCATGAATTTGCCCGATCTCCTGAAGCTGGATGTATTTTTAGCGTCCACATCCTCTGGGAAGGAATTCCTCAGCTGAAACATGCTGTGAGCAAACAAGTACAGTCCTGTGTTTGTTTTTGAACCTGGCGCGTGCTATTTTCCATCCGACGCTCCTTTATTCAATGCCCCTTCCAAACCAGGATCTGTTCGTTATAACCCATACTGAACATCGCTTACAATTCCGGCGCCCTCGGTTGCGCTGGAGGGAGCCTCAGTTACCGCTTTTCCAGGCCAGAGGTCTCAGTCTGTGATATTGTTTCTTATATGGTGGCCATTCCATACCTGGGCTCGTCCTTACTGATTTTCTCTGTACCTGTTCTATTCCAACGGTTTCTGAGATGAGGGATCAGTATTTCACACGCTTTTCAAAATGCCGGAGTCGTGGTTTTATACCATGGCATCGTAACGCTTTTGGGTTGCTCTGTGTTCCGAATCACTGCCAATAATGCCGTTTCCCTTTCTGACCGTTTTGCCAAAAACTCGGTGAAAGCCCGAGGACTTGCTCCGCAGCAGTAGCGGTAGGGTTGGCGTCCGTCTTCTCCCTGTGAACTGGAATTGCTTCCCGCTCCTACACACGGGGTTTCGCTGGCCGTCTCGCTGACTCGGGATTCCCAAGCCCCGTGGCTCTTCGCGCTTAGCCCCTCTTTATGTTTCTGAATAACGTGGTGTTGCCAGCACACCGTCGATCCGCCCTGCTTCCTAGGTAATTCATGAAGCCACGAGGCAGCACAGAGCCATACAGGATACCCCCCGCTGTTGGGCTGGTGTTTTGGGTTTTTTTTTTTTTGTTGAAAGGGAGGTGGGGGTGGGAAAGCTGTCGATCTCTGCGCTGTCTTTGCTAGATTTTAACGGTACGGTATGTATGGAAACCTTCCCGCGTTACATTCTGAATGCTTTATATGGAGTTTGAAAGACTGAGCTGAAAACGAAGGGCCTATGGTCATCTGTTTGTTTATACCTCCAGATAAGATAAAAATCTTACATTCCCTGGAAAAGTTATCATTCCGTGATGCAGTGGTGTGGCATTTTGTTTTTTCTGTACCAGTTCCATTTGATTTATTCTTTAAACTCATTTAAATGTAATAGGAAAACTATATAATATCACAGCAGCTTAGGAAGCTTAAATGCTGGAGCAGGTTCTGCAAATTTAGAGCTGCAAATACAGAGGTCTTGGGCAAGATTTGGCTTTCCTGACGTGGCCTCAGTTTAATCCATCTTCACAGGTTTGTTAATCTGACTGTGATACACTCTTTGTTCCCTAACCAACTCTAGCAGTCAGACTTCAAATCCCGCATTGCTCGCCCTAACTGGTTTCATTACAGCTGTGGCAATTCATCTTCTCCGACTGTTGGTTTTGGTGGGGCGTTGGTTGGTTGTGTGGTTGTTTGTCTGTTTGTTTGTTTGTTTTTTTAGGTCGGTCTCTTTTGAGGGTGCCTGGACACAAGCCTACAGACTGGGAGAAAAGATTTTTGTTGTGGGCAGGCCATTTCAAAAAACACGAGGATATACCAGAGACTGTCTCGTAAGTGCCGGTTTTGAAGCTGTAAGAGAGACATTGTCTACGCAGGAATAAGTTACTTGAATGCAACTCCAGAATAACTCTTCTTAAACGGAATGGGTTTTCACAGCTGAGAAATCTGACGCTGGCGTGTTTGGGGTATCGTCTTGTAGATGAGATGACCTGAGCAGTTCTGTCTTGCTGAGATAATACAGCCCTTCTGATTTTTTTCT